GTAAGTAGGGTAAAGTGTCTTGCCCAAGGACAGAACGACCAGGACAGAGAGCCCGGGGATCGACCTGATTGAGTCAGTCAGGCTATACAGACCTATAGGATAAATACTGTTTATAAATACATTCATATTATGATCATTCTCACTGTACTTTATGTATATATTAAAAGGAAAATCTTTGTGCATTTTAATGTATATAGTAACCCATGTGTCCATAGTATAGCATTTTCCGTTTTTTTTTATTTCCAGGCTATTTTTCTTATTTATTTTTTATTGTTTTCTAATGCATCTCTAATTCACCTTTTCTTGTTGTCCCTTGCGCTGCTGTAACAAGTGAATTTCCCCAGTGTGGGATTAAATAAAGTCTATGTCTAACATAAATACAGAGACATGGAAACATGGATTGTATTACTCTGATGGATGTATCAGAGCAACTTGGGGTTGTCCTCTTGCCCAAGGATTTTTGTCATGCAGACTGGGGCTAACATTGAGCCACCAATCTTCGGATTATTAAATGACCTTCTCTACCTGCTGAACTACAAAATGGAAATGATTCACTGAAATTTCTATTCTTGTTTAAAATAGAACTAGCCAGTTGTACAGCTACAGTGTAAAACAGCTTTGGCATTACTTGAATAGGTGGCATTTCTTTTTTTGATACTTTTGTAGTAAGTTCTTGCTCTTGTTCTTTTTGTCTTTTCCCCTATTAGGCGTGATCTACACCACTGATATGTTGGACCGAGAGAGCAAGGACTCCTATTGGCTAACAGTTTATGCCACCGACCACGGTGTGGTTCCTCAGTTCACCAGTATTGACGTATTTATCCAGGTGGAGGATGTTAATGACAACGCCCCGTTGACTTCTGAACCTCTGTACCGAACCTCAGTGCCTGAGAATTCTCCACGTGATGTTTCTGTAATCCAGATCGAGGCTCAAGATCCTGATGCCACACTCTCCACTACTGCTGAGAGGCTCAACTACCGCATTATTAGTGGAAACCCACAGAATTTCTTCACCGTCAATACCCGCACTGGTGAGAAAGCATGTGTGCATCTTTCATCAAAAAGGTAGTGCTATATGTTAACATAAGCAAATTTAATTAGAAACCAGGAGTTGTAATTATAGGTTTAGGTTATAGGTTATTTTTTTCACTAATGAATTATCTTTCTTTTGTCTGCTGTGCATAACAAGTAGCAGTAACACTTACAGCTTGGTAATAAAGTGATAATAGCAGGGTAACAAGGCAGAAACAAGAACCTAATAATATGGTAATTTCTAAGTTATTACTACTAAATTACAAAGCAGTAACCAATTACTGCGACAAAATGTTTCTCCCACTCAAAACGCTATGTCCAGATGAACAGAATCAACCTTTAGGGATTTACTTAGCTGGATAATTGAGCATGCATCAAGACATCCAAGTAATTTAATCCTAACAACAACGGTTACAATTGAGTAGAAGTATACTGAAATTCATGTAATTGGATAATAGACCCCCAAAACTGGGGGTAATAATGTGGAAATAAAAACATCCCCATGAGGCAAAACCAATTAGTAGTAGGTCTCTCAAAGTCCACCATCATCTCCACTGTCTTGAGCAGGGTGAGCTCCAGGTATGACATGTTCAGTTTTTTCTTAAGGAAGTACAGGAGAATGTCTATGGTTTAAAATATGTAATTGGCTTCAACAATTGAAATTACAAGTTTACAGCGCTGGACCTCGGTGTGAAATCAGCCACCTGCCTCACATGAAGGATGACCTTCAGATTGGGCTATACAGTTTTACAATAACAAGTATTATTATGACTACTTCCGGAAGCGGCATGGCGGTCCCTCTGTCTCCCTGTGAATCTTCTCCTCTCTCCGTTCACATCTGACCTCGCCCGTATCTGCTCCTTTCCTGGAATAAAACAGAGAAGACGCCTCCCTGCCTATACTTGATTATTAATATTATCCTACTGATTCTATTTATCTATTCTATTTATTCTATTCTGTCTAAGTTTGGGACATTCTGTTCGGACTCCCTTGGCTCAGAAAATATCATCCTGACTGTTAACCAGTTATGTGTAAGCATGTTCTGGACCAGACAGTGGATTCATGGATGTACCTGTCATCCATGAACTTAAAGAGTTTCACAGATTATTCTCCTGAGGAGCATCCATTAGTGTAGAGGGAGAAGAGCAGTGAGGAAAAAACATACCCCTGGGGGAGGCCGGTGCTGATGGTCTTAGTGGGATGTGATGCTTTTTCAGTGCTCACCTGCTGCTTGCTTGTAGTCATTTAATCCTTTGGTGGACTTCTTTGAGATCAAGATGACAGTGGAGCATTTGAAGCAGGAGGGGACTTCACACAGCTCCAGAGATCTCTTAAAGATGGAGGCCAGTTGGTTGGCACAGACTTTCAGATAGGAGGGAAACACACCATCAGGTCCTGGAGCTCTTCTAGTCTTCTGTCTCTGGAAGAGCAGACACACATCGTCCTCAAGGATCTTTAATGCAGGTCGGGGGTCAGAGGGGAGGGGGATGAGGGCTGCAAGTAGTTTTTTTGTGTAGGCATTAGGTGAGGGTGAGCCGGTGGGAGGTATGAATGATTGTCTTTCAAATCTGCAGTAGAAGGTGTTAAGGTTGTTAGCCATTCGGCTTCTCTTCAGGGTGCTGGGATGCACTCCTGTAGCTGGGGATGTGCTGCAGGCCTCTGAAAACTGGTGTAGGGTTGCTGGCTAAGAAGTTTTTTTTAAGCTTCTCCCTTCAGTTCCTTTTACCCTGATCTTCTTGCTCAGCTCATTTCTGGCCTACTTGTACAGGGCCCAGCCCCTGCTGCTGTAGGTCTCCTCCTTGGTCCTTCTTGGCGCAGCTTCTTCAGAATTGGAGTGAACCATGGTTTGTTATTATTGCATTTGCAAAAGGTCTTAGTCTGCCCACACAAGTCTGCACAAAAGTTGCAGCGGAAGTTGCAGCTTCAAAAACACTCCAGTCTGTGCAGTCAAGGCAGGATTGTAATTTGTCCCAAGTGCTTGGTCCACTTCTTCATAGTTTTAAGTTAAGTTCTTCATAGTTTTTAAAATAATTAAAAGTATTAGTCATTGTATTGCCATGTAGATATATCATAGACAGATCACTGAAAATGATAGCCATTACAGACGTAGTAATGCTAATGAGAGGAAAGACCAAAGCATAAGCCAAAACAAGTCAAAGCTGGCCGACAGTTTGAATTGACTGATCTAGCCTTCGTTCAAGTCCGCCCTTACTTCCATGTTTTTCCGGTCGCCAGCACCACGGTGTGAAAACTTTAAAATGGACCCAGAAATGTCGCTCCATTTTTTGTACATTTTTAGTTCTCTTGGAGCTAGAAAAACTTTGTCGTCGCCGGCATGTTTTGTACCTTAAGCTCATCAGAGACAATCATATGCAGGTAAAATAATTTCCTTTAATCTACACGCATTTAGGAATTACTAGTTTCATGGATAATTTCAGTGGCTGAATGATTGTGCACATTTACTGTTTCATATAAAATGTGTAAACTAAATCTCTTTGAAACTTATAGAAGAACTTTTTCTATTTCTATTTATTTTCTATTATTCATTTGATCCTGTAACTTATTTGTGTGCATAGATAGGCTGTAAAAATGTCACAAAGCTGAAAACATTGTTATTTTTGAGTTCACAAAAAAGCTTAGTTACACAGATAAAGTGTATAAAATTTAAGTCTTTTCACAACTTACTTGTATATTTTACTTAAGCTTAATAATCAGAATAATGCTTTAATCTCTTCAAATTAATGAAATCATACCTTTCTACAAAAACTGTTTATGTTTTTCTCCACCTTTTCCTTAACCAGACCAGACCCTTGTCCTTGTACTGTAGGATTAACCTGAGTGTCCCAGTCCTGGACCGTTTTTTTAACCAGGAGGATCCCAGTCCTGATTTTTGTTGATGTATTATAAATATTCTTGTTTTATTGTTTTTGTTATTTACTTCAAACATATCACCAAAAGGTTAATTCGGAAAAATCAAAATTGACTCTAAAAGTGTATTCCTCTCCCGCATTACCTCCGTCTTCGTCCGCGATTGTTATAAGAAAAATCCTCCTGTGTGACCCGCAATGAATCATGGGATATGGTAGGCTACCAAGGATACACGCAACTCAACCTTCAAATCTGGGGAAAAGTAGGACGCATTTGTTGCCACATTTGGAGGACTCTTCAAATTTGGAAAGCTTTCGTCGCGTCACTGTGACATAATTGCCCAAAATTGTGGCCTACAAATGCTACCCCTGAATTTGGACACAGCATATGACTATATTAGAGAGTTGTTTTGATACAGAAGGAATCAGGGCTAGAAGATAACCCAGGTATCATAATGTAGGCATGAAGGAGACCTGTCTTCTGCTATAATTTGTTTTGACGATCCACATAAGCCTGGAATACCACCAGGCATACCACCCTTTAGAGTTGACCCAAAATGTATAAAGTGACGTTAACGGCATAACTGCATTAACGTGGCAAATCTCAGCACTAATTTTTAAGTTATCTCCAGTGAATTATCAGCAAACAGATTTCACATTTCCTAAATTCTTGTTTGATAGTTTAATTGTTGTCTACTGTTTATTTCTCAGGTCTGATCACCACAACCTCCAGGAAACTGGATCGTGAACAACAAACAGAGCATATTTTAGAGGTAAGGAAAGATTTGTAGCTTTAGAGATTTAGAGATGAATGAAAGATGCTCAGCACCTGCAAGGTGCAAGGCTCCAAGGTGGTTGGTGCCAGTTAGGGTGGTAACCCCCAAAGCAGATGGTGGACAGGGAGCCATCAGGCTGAAAAAAAGTGTCCGTCGGACTTGATTAGCCTGCAGGAATTCAAAATCAGCCAATGGGTGCCAGCAGGCCAAGTGGAACACAGCTTGAGCAGTGGCTGAAGCAAAAATTTGGTTTTGGGAAGAGTTTAGTGAGGCCATGGAACAAGACCGTCAGACTGCCTAGAAGTTAGTGCCAATTTCAACTGAGGCGATGAAAGGCTCTAAGAGTTGTAGAGTTTTCTTAATTGACATGTCTCTACAATGTCACATGAAAATCTCTGTTGACACACTCAGGGTACGTACGGGTGCTTGAAATCCTTGAAAATGCTTGAATTTTAATGTTGTCTTTTCAAGGTTTGAAAAGTGCTTGAATTTCAGATGTGGTGCTTAAAAGTGCTTGAAAGTGTAACTGTATTTCATTCACAATAAATAGCTATCTGATTCAATAATTTTCTTATCAGGTAGAGAAATAAAATGAGTCGCAAAATGTAGAGGCAAAATTTCCCCGCCTGGGCTGCCTTGCGCCTCTGTCTGTTTCAATATATGACCCCGCCCCTCCCTCGGACAGTCGGGGATGAGTGCGCTAATATACCTGTAGGTTGCTGTTTTAATGAGTGTTTGATGAAAAACAACAATGGCGGAGTTTGCGCTCTCCAGTCGCATGATAGGTGAGTGCTAGTAAATAATTTTCCATTTACCAGCACGTGTACGTTACACATGCTATTTAAAAAAAAAAAAAAAGATTATTATTTTGCTAACTATCAAACTCTCTGGAGAAATGATTGATGCACTGAGTGTGATGCCTTATGGCAGCGCTATTATGGAATATGCTGTGAACTTTGCTAACATTACTTAGCAGTGATATGAGTTAATTTACTCAAGTGAAAGCTTTAAACAACGGTAAAAACGGCATTTTCTAAGGAGAGCGCTAGCAAACACGCTTTGCTTGTGAGTGTGTCAGTTCTACTAGTGAATGTGACAGATGCTGCAAAAAAGCCACCAAAAGCAGATTGCAGTGTAAACCCTGAGTGACACAGCTGCTGTCAGAACCTGCAGGTTTATCCCTGTGCTGTTCTCATCTGTGTTATAGTGGACACAAACTATTTTTTGGAGTTCCATAAATATTTTTTGTGCCTTCTTATTTGACGCAGAACACCTGATTTTTCTGTAAATAGTTTGAAATGGTTATATAAAAAACGTCTGAGCCTTGGCTGCATTTTTAGGTAAATAGTACCATATAACTTTGTTGTTTGCAAAACTTGTGCATATTTTTAAAAATGTACAATTTCTATTTGCATTTCAAGTTATGAAAATGATTCGTTAAACATGCTTGTGGTTTTTACAGTCAAAAATATCACTTTCTACTTGTATTTTAAATTTTGTCTGAATTTAGATAAATTGTGCTGATACAGTATGTCAAAATGAGAAAATAACAGATTGGCAAGATAAAAGTTTTTAAAGGTGAAATATAGAGGCCAAATCAAAAGTAGTCAAAAACAGCCAATTATATCCTGGACCCCAGCTTTTTGGAGTATTTGAAATAATGGTAATATGACTGATCCATATGGTCACAAAGAATAGCCTCTTGTTTCTGTGCTACCAAAGTTCCCCGGCTTTCATTCAAAATGTGTTTATCGTCAGCACCGACACATTAAACTACTTAAACATTATGAATGTCTTCAAGCTCACACCGAGGCCTGTGGGGCACTATCAGCCACTGAGACAGTACACACATTTATATGTGCATTTGTATATGAATATTTCATACTGTAAGGCTGCCTGTTTATTTAAGGGAGATGAACAAAATACATTGGAATTGTACATAATAATATCACAGATGATAAATTCAATAGATTTTAAGTAGATGCTTGTGCATTCTTAAAGTCTTATATGTTGAATTGAACTATGTGATCTGTTCAAAGCCTCCCAGTCAGTGCTGCTCTCCATGCCTGTCTGACTGTACATGATGTTTAAAGGTGACGTTTAGGACTTCAACAATAATACAGACAGCAATGTAGTTAGCAATAGAACAGTTTTATTGGGAATTAACTTAAAACAAACATCTGTCTCCTATTTTTTGTCACACAGGAAGGAAGCATCAATTTCTGATGAGAAGACTTATTTATTTCTTTTTTTGTGGGGGGGGGGAGGGTTCAACAGGAGAAGAATATCTCTAACAAGTTGATTTGTTCACATTGTCACATCTTAATTTTTAAGTGAAATGTGCATTTTGAGTTTATACATTATGTATATAAGGCGACGTTTCCTTTTGCAGTATTTTTGTGTGGTTTGTTTTTCTATTTCTTAACAAAAGGTGAACAAAGGTGTTTAAGTTCACCTAGGATGATTTGTCCTAATTTTCACATGGTCTTACTGAGGGGATGCAAATTGAAACATGCATTCTTTCTTTTGGGGGGGCATGTGCTGGAAAAGCTTGAAAAGGGACCTTGAAAGTGCTTTAAAAGTGCTTGAATTTGACCCTAAAAAAGGCGTATGAACCCTGTACACTATATTGGCAGACCGGTTTGGTGGTTCCCATCTTTAAGGAAGAGGACCGGCGAGTGTGCTTCAACTATGGCGAGGTCACACTCCTCAGTCTTCCCAGGAAAGCCTTACCAGGGGCTGGAAAGGATAGTCCGTCTGTTAGTTGAACCTTGGATACAGGAGGAAAAATGTGTTTTTTGTCCTGGTTACAGAACACTGGACCAGCTTTTTACCAGCTTGAGGATATCTGAGGGTGTGTGGGAGCTTGCCCAACCAGTCTACCTGTGTTTTGTGGACTTGGAGAAGGCTTTCTACCTCAGAACATTATTTGGGAGGTGCCTGTGGAGTATGGGGTCTCTGGCCTGTTGCTGTGGGGCATTCGGATCTTATTTAACCAAGAGCTAGATTTGCATTGATGGCAATAAGTCAGACTTGTTTCCAGTGGGTGTTGGACTCCAGCTTGCACTGAAGTGGTTCATAGCTGAGTGTGACGCGGTGGGAATGAGAATAAGCACCTCTAAGTCTGAGGCCAAGGTCTTTAGCTGGAAAAGGGTAGAGTGCCCACTCCAGGTAAGGGATGAGTTGCTGCCCCAAGTGGAGGAATTTAAGTATCTCGGGGTCTTGTTTACAAGTGAGGGGAGAGGGGAGCAGGAAATCAACAGACTGATTGAGGCTGTGGCTGGAGTGATGCAGATGCTATACTGGTCTGTAGTGGTAAAGAGAGAGCTGAAAGTACGAGGCCAATCCCAAAAGTAAGAGCCCCAATTTTTTTAGAAATACAAAAAACTGTTTATTTCCCATAATATTTACATAATTTTAAAGCTTGAAGACTTATCTATTTGTCTACATAATCGCCATTTCAGTTGATGAATTTTTGTAGAGGCTGTGGCAGTTTTACAATGCCCATGTCATGCCTGCTCACTGCTGCAGAATTGCCTTCTGAACAAATGTTCTTTCAACTTTGGGAACAGATGGTAGTCACTGGGTGCAAAGTCCGAACTGTAGGGTGGGTGGGTGATGAAGTTTTGCAGGAGAGCGACAGTTTGACGGGTGACCTGTGGACACACGGTGTCGTAGAGAATCCTTGGACTGTAGGAGAAAGCCAGAGTACCTGGAGAGAACTCACGCAAATGCAGGGAGAACATCCAAACTCCACACTGAATGACACCGGGCTGATGGTGGAATTGACACCAAAGGGAGGACCTTCTTGTTATGAGGCAACTAATCTCTGTGCGACCGTGCTGCCACAAATTGCATTATCATTATATTTAAAAAAATTAACAACTTTAAAACCTGTAATTTAAAAGCTTGATTGATGTTAGAACAAATGAATTCTTAAGGCAATTCAGCCTGTATTTTGGGACTATCCTCTGCTGTAAGGCAAGAGCTCATATGAAGGACATGTAATGCATCTGACAGAACCCGCTGGGCCTGTCTGATTACCGACTGGTTGTAAATGCAGGGGTGGGAAAGATCTTCAGTCCTCCCAGTCACCTTCATGGCAGACCGCACCAGACACAACAGATTAGATTTTGCATGCACAGAGCAATTGCCATACCATGACAGGGCTCTAGACCAAATTTTGACGGACACACCGTGTGTTTACGCAGTGTTTACATCTTTTTGCGTTGATTCTGAGCTGGAGGTTTTGTCTCTCTCCAACCAAAATTCACCGAGCGAGCAGCAAAAGAAGCAGCAAACTACGCTTCATATTTGATAAATGTCGTAATGGAATCACTGCTGTTTTGCCTCCACCACGATAAAAATCACACTTCATGCACAGCTCTCTCTCTCTCTGTACTTCAAGAACAGTTTCCCGTCTCAAATCTCTGTTTTCTGCATTATTCATTCGCTTATTACCCACCAGTCTACCGTGCGCCTAACTTTTTAAAGTTAGGCGTACGGTGCGCCCATGGCAAAAAGTTAGTCTAGAGCCCTGCATGATGATATGCCACACCCTATGATGCTTTCCAGTACAGCCTGATAGAACTGAAACATTATTTTCTGATTATGTCAAGTGAAGTCAATTTTTTTTCTCTTTTTCAAACACCTTTAGTCTGTGTTAAAAAACAAACAAACTAACAAACAAACAAAAAACAAAACGAGAACACATTGTGGTCATTGCAACTGAAGAGATAATCAAGTTGAATCCCAAGATAAATTTAGGATTTGATATGATTGATTTCTTCATTATGGATAAACAGTGGGTTGTGGTCTCCTACTGCTTGGGGGTCCAGCACCATCTCCTTAATAGACTCGATGGTTATCTTCACTTTGTGATGTTGCGTCCAGTAAGGGTATCAGAATTAGACTATTGAATTGTATGTGCTTTCTTTCACTGACATCCAGTTGTTGACTATTAGCCTATTTCAAAATGTATTGCATTGAGTTAAAATACAAATAAAATACCTTTGTTTGAGGACAATTTTCCCTAACTGGAGCTCCTTAAATTTTAATTGAAATGCTACCCATAATAATGAGTGTGCCTTGGTTTGAGTAATGCTTTGTCCTGTAGTCCATATCAGCTCTTTGGTCTGCAATACCAGATTATTCACTGAGCACTATCCTGATAGCTACTGTGTCTCATCTATTAATGCTGACTGATATTCTCCTGAGATAAGCCCAAGAACAGTTGTGTCATCAGCAAATTTAATAATGCTAGATAAATGTGAAGGTGTACAGTGTACAAAGGAGAGCACAACCTCTAAGAACTCCAGTCTTCAATGTAATGGAAGGAAGGAAGTATGGGGGGCAGGCGAGGAAGGTGGAGGAAATTTGACATATTGAGTCAAAAAGTCCTTGATGCAGGTGTGGATGGTTGGGACAAAGCCAGTGTGTTTTCTGACTAAAATATTTGGGATGATGGTAATAAAGACAGTTCTAAAGTCAACAAAGAGCATCCTCTAGTTCTGTCAGTGGTCCAAATGGCTGAAAATGGAGTTGCTATGGCAATAACATCTTCAGTAGACTGTTTAGCGCTATTTCTGTTCTGCTAGATCGCACCTGCTCTGCGTAGTCACCTGCACAAAGTGCAGTATAGTGAGTCAGGATGTTTGATTAGAAGCCAAGAACAAAATATTTGGGTTGTTCTTTTTAAATATTTCAAACTATGTAATAGTGACTGCATATCAGATATTTTGTCCCAACAATGCTTTATCTATCCAACCTCTTCTAAATTTCACTCTGGCAGTCACTTAATTTTAAAACTAACTATTGGTCTCAATAAGCTGCACTTTCTAATTGTGAGGGACCAAGCAGCCAAGGCATAGAGGACACAGGCAAAAAAAAAATGTCTTCAAAAAGGGTTTTCTTTATTTTAACCCTCAAAAAGTTCAAAAATGACAAAATTCAAAAACATAATTAGAAGGCCCATAAAAGAGGTCAACCGAATATAACTCTACAAAAAGTAATTTCCAGAAACTTAAACAAAGTGGACACAACTTAACTCACAAACTGACCTAATTACAAAGACACATGAAAGTAGCTTTTATAGTGGTTTGACCAAACCATTTTCACACAATAGGGGGGAAAACCAAAACACTTTAATATTAACTAAGCACAGAATAACCTAACTAAACCTAAAATAACCCTGTTCCTGATAACCACATGGTCTGTCCTGCTGAGCAGGCATTTTGTTCTCAGAGTCCTCAGCCACGCCTTTTTCCCAGACCAGGAAACAGCCACCACCCAAAACCAGGTAACTCAAAGAAAGAGAAACATAAATAATATAACAAAACATTTTTAGAAAAACCACACAATGCTAGTATGTGCGCGCCTGATAATATCAGTTAGGTTTAACCAAATGATTAATGAATTATATTAATGAAGAAAACTGCAAAACAAACTAATAAAGTGAACAAATGGACTAATTTACTAATTAATGTTTGGGGGACAATCTCTACTAGAACAGCATGGTTGCTTATGTGTCATGAAAGATCAAGTTTGTGATTAGGAACACTGTATATATTTTTGAACAAGCCTTTCTGCCCATACAGGTGTTGGTGTCAGATGGTGGCCCTAATCCCAAGCAAAGTACTGTTTGGGTGATAGTTCAAGTCCTGGATGAAAACGACAACAAGCCCATATTTCCTGAGAAGGTGTATCAAGTCAAACTTCCAGAGAGGGAGCGTAGAAAGAAGGGAGAACCAATCTATCGGGTGTTTGCCTATGACCGTGATGATGGGCCAAACTGTGACCTCTCCTACAGCATTGTGGATGGCAATGAGGATGGGAAGTTCTTCATCGACCCCAAGACAGCAGTGGTATCTTCACGCAAGGCCTTCAGTGCAGGGAGCTACGACATCCTGACTGTATGGATTTTTTTTTAAATTTGTTAAACATGTCTGCTCTGTGAGTTCAAGAACATTTAAGTTGTATTTTCTAAACTCCAAATCATAAATTAATCGCTTAATCTTTGTTGTGAAGGACTTGTTTGAGGCAGGTCTGTCCATTTCTACAATCAGGAGAACATATTCTCTGAATCTAGGGAATGTGTGTAAAAGATTCATTGTGTATTTACTTTTGTTTTTCTTGATGATCTTGATTTTAGGAAATGCTCTTTAAAAATATTTCTTCATCATTAAGGTTGCCTGAACAGCACTCAAAATAACAGAGTTTGGTGCTTATTTAATTGATGCACACTGATTTTAGTTTTGTTATCTGGCTTCTGACAAAAGAATAGCATTCTTCAAAAATGCTGATTGAAGAATGGGATGCCATCTCACAGCAGTGTGTGACCAAGCTGGTGACCAGCATGAGAATAAGGTGCCAGGCTCTTGTGGCTGTGTGTGGTTTTTCCACATGCTACTGAATCCCCATTTAATCTAATAAAGAATGCCAAACAAGAGTCAATAACAGAATAAGCTGTTTGGAAGTTTTTCAAGGGCACAACCCATTTACTCAACTCTGCTCCTAAACCCACAAATGCATTTTCCTTACAAATGTGGCAAGGTTTCCGATGCCTGTTTATTGTGACCATGGCAAGAAGTGTTGTTACAACAAAGAAATAATCAACCAGCATACCAAAACAAATAAGGAAATCTAAGTTTTCAACTTGTGGAAGGTCTGTATTTGATGCCAGCTAAAAACCGAAAACACAGCAAACACGTTAACGTTTAAAGTGATGAATACTGTGGACTTCAAGAATGGCGTGATATAGTTGTGGGGTATATTGTATCATAGCATATGGAAATATTTTAGTCTGCAAAAGACCCTTTGCCTTTCTTTTCCTCTATGTTCAGATCAAAGCAACAGACAATGGACGTCCTCAGAAATCCTCCACAGCGCGACTCCACATTGAGTGGATCCGCCGACCGCCAGCTCTCACTCTACCGCTGATTTTTGATGAACCATTCTACAATTTCACTGTGATGGAGAATGACAGGGTGGCTGAGATTGTGGGTGTGGTATCTATGCAGCAGAGCTCCACCCCTTTGTGGTTTGACATCACAGGTAAAATGCCCCTGTAATGGAGTATGCTTCGTAAACCACTTGAGGGTTTTGTTGTGTAAGGAAGGGTGTGCTCAGGTTTGATGCATGTTGTGTTGGTATAAATTATGTACAGCTCAGATACAGTGGTCTGCATGGTATGTTCTCCCCATCCCAGTTACCATAGTGACAGCTTCTCAGATCCCAGTTCAAGTAATCTGTTGGTAGTCTAATATGGATTAAAATCAGGATGAAGCTTAAATTAGATACATTTGTTTATTTTTCTCTCTTTGTTTTAAAAAAAAAAGGATTGTTTCATTGAAGTATTCACAGCTATATTTACTAAGCAGGGCAATTTAATATTATGCTGCTATCACAAAACAAATGTCAACTAGAGGGGAGTGATCAACTAAAACTGTGTTAATTAATAAACATAGTTTAGCCAAGTTCATTGCAGTAACAACCCACATTGTATCAGAAGCAGCACAAATTACCAGATCAAAAACAATTAGACTTTAGAGAGTGAGTAATGTATTTAAAACAAACAAACAAAAACGACCGTATTTGTACTCTGACAGGTCTCTAGCTGTGATGTATTGTTGGCTCCAATCAGCCCAAAATATATAGATAAATGCGACAGGGGACGACAGACATTCCCACAATACACTTTTTGTCTTTCTAGTCAGTGTACATTAACCTGGAGATACCTTCTGACTTGTGCTTCTGGCTCTCCTTAGCTCTGCCTCTCTTTGTATTTTTTCTCTGTTTTCTGTCCATGTCACTCTCACTTCAAACACATTTTTCTCACTTCATTTGTGTGTAATGATGGTTTCTCATAATCTGAAACTTGAAAAAATGTGTTTTAGTTATTTAGGAAACAATATGAAGAAGGTAAACATTTTATTTAATTTTTTTTTTTAAAAAGGAAAAAAAGGATAAAACATAGAATATTTAGCAATACAGCAGCACAGGTAAGTCAACTGAAAGACCATGTAGTGTGTGTGATCATGGGTATATGTGATCATCACTTGTAAATTTGGCAAAAGACACAGACCAGGAATCCCAGCTGATGATGCAATAAAAAACAACTGCACTTTCATGTTATTTCCAATGTACAGGGTGGGCCATTTATATGGATACACTGTAATAAAATGGGAATGGTTGGTGATATTAAAGTCCTGTTTGTGGCACATTAGTATATGTGAGGGGGCAAACTCCTCAAGATGGGTGGTGACCATGGTGGCCATTTAGAAGTCGGCCATCTTGGATACAACTTTTGTTTTTTCAATAGGAAGAGAGCCATGTGACACATCAAACATAAGTTTGATGTGTCACATTACCAATAATGGTAATGTCACAAGAAAAACAATGGTGTGCTTGGTTTCAACATAACTTTATTCTTTCATGAGTTATTTATAAGTTTCTCTTTGTTCACAGCCATTGACATGTTGAAGAGGTTAACACGTGAGGGGCGGATCGAAATTGTGTTGATATCTGGTGAACGCAGTAACCGGGTCATTGCAGCAGATTTCAGAGCAAACTGTCACTAATGAAGAAACATCAGTGGCTGTCCTAGCTTCATTCAGCAAGAGCCTACAGTGTAACACTCGCCGCATGTCACTGGAGAGTGGCATTAATCAAACATCCCTTCGGCAGATATTAGCTACTCACAAATGGCACCCTTACAAACTCCAGCTACTGCAGCATCTCAACGAGGATGACCCAGATCGGTGCACAGAATTTGCAGAATGGGCAAAACAAAAATTGGAACAGGGCCCTCAGTTCACGCAGAAGATTTTGTTCAGTGATGAGGCAAACTTTTATGTGAATGGTGAAGTTAACAAACAAAACCACCGCTATTGGTCTGACACTAACCCACATTGGATGGATCCCTCCAAGACTGTTGGAACAACAAAAGTGATGGTTTGGTGTGGTATATGGGGTACAACGATAGTGGGTCCATTCTTCATCAATAAACTCAATGAATTTTTCCAGCAAGAAAAACTCACATTATGGGTGCCAGGTCCGAGCATTCCTAGATGAACAGTTTCCTGGAAAGTGGATTGGTCGTTATGGGCCAGTTGAATGGCCCCCAGGGTCTCCCGATCTGACCCCCTTAGACTTTTATCTTTGGGGTCATCTGAAGGCAAATGTCTATGGTGTGAAGATACGAGATGTGCAGCACCTGAAACTACGGATACTGGATGCCTGTGCTGGCATTTCTCCTGCGGTGTTGCTATCAGTGTGTGAAGAGTGGGAGAAGAGGGTTGCATTGACAATCCAACACAATGGGCAGCACATTGAACACATTTTATAAGTGGTCAGAAACTTGTAAATAACTCATGAAAGAATAAAGTTATGTTGAAAACAAGCACGCCATTGTTTTTCTTGTGACATTACCAATTTGTGTCACATGGCCCTCTTCCTATTGAAAAAAACAAAAGTTGTATCCAAGATGGCTGACTTCTAAATGGCCACCATGGTCACCACCCATCTTGAGGAGTTTGTCCCTCACATATACTAATGTGCCACAAACAGGACTTTAATATCACCAACCATTCCCATTTTATTACAGTGTATCCATATAAATGGCCCACCCTGTACATTATTTTAACTTCAATAACTTCAAGCAAAAAAGCATTTTCTGATGGATAAACTACACGCATAAAATATACAATTTTGCCCCAAGTGATCATCCAGTAAACCTTTCAGCCTTTCTAAATACATGTTAATATCAGAATGAGTTAAAAACCTTACAATTTGCTCTGTAACCTTTTTCAGACTGATAGATGTCAATAGCTTTGTTTCTCAACTGTTTCTTCAGATAGTGGTATGATGTGTTGCTACTTGAGACCTTAACGTACATCACTTTGTTGGACAGGTTCTTTTTCATTTCTGTGCTTGATTCATCAGTAATCAGACCTGAGTGTGTCTAATGAAACTAAACTCAGTGTGGCACAGGAATGACGGACCTGACCACATAGTTTGCTCTTTTTAGCACTTTTTATTCAGTTGCTGCTTTTCGGCTACACCCCACACAACAACCACAACCTCAGGTCCCAGCAAGTCTTTTGCAGGGGAGGCATGATGAACTGATGGAGCTCCGGTGTGTCAGCCTCCCCTGCAGCCATACCATAACACCATGCCCCGCCACACTGGTTAATGATAGTTAATTCATGATTTAACAAGGGAGGCAATTACTTTTGCACACAGAGCTAGGTAGGTTTGGGTGCCATATAATGTCATTATGGATTAATAAAGTATTCTAATTCTGATGGCCCGTAATAAATGCAATCATCATTTAGTGACAAATATGCAAAAGAATAAGGAATCAGGATAAAGGCAAATACTTTTGCACAGCACTGTATAAACCCAGATAGTTCTTCTCCTTTCTTTTGTCCTTCCCCTGGAGGCTCTCTGACCTTTCTGTCTCACCTCATCTTTCCTGTCTCTTCTCAATGCTTCATGCCCATAAGGTCCCAGGTCTTTCCGTGAGATGTTCTATATTCTGCAGAGCACTTGTGGCAGGAACTGTTCCTCAGAAGGTATCTCCCTTCCACTACTGCTATTTTCTGCCTTCTCAGCACCCTATTTTCATTATTTTTCTGTCATTCTTTATTTTACTGTTTTTGCACCAATGATGCACCCCTCTGCTTGTTATCTGTGCTTGTAGTGCCTGTGCTATAATTGATTAGTTGGATGTGGCTGGTTTTTCGAATGTGCGCATGTGTGTATGTGTCTCTATCTGTGTATGTGTGAGGCAGAGAGAGAGAGATGGATGGACTGTTGTAGCCAAGATTAGTTGAAGGGATGCAGGTTTAGTAAAACAATACAAAAAGGGAAAAAAAAAATTTGTCCAACCTTATAAACAGTACATTTGCATAATGACTGAAACTAGCCCACTGAAGGAGCAATGGACTGGAAGCGCAGTTCCTTGATCTTTAATATGCAAATTCTCATGACAGTTGATGAACAACTACTGACCAAAGCCCATTGATCAAAGACCACTGATCAATGGACATGAGTACAATTCACAGAAAGTTGGGGAAATGGCTGCAATTACAGCATTGTAAAAATGGTGAAAAATCTACCCTCAGGCCCCCTCCACATTTCAGAGATGGTCTTTCCCTTTTCACGTAAATGCCCCCCTTGACTCCCTGCTCAAACCAGCGTTCCTCCTTGTCCAGGATGTGTACATCCTCATCATTGAAAGAGTGTCCACTGGCCTGTAGGTGCAAATGGTGTGCGGAGTCCTGGCCTGACGAGGAAGCTCTTCTCTGTTGTGCCATCTGCTTCACTAGAGGTTTTTTGGTTTCGCCGATGTATAAATCATTGCAATGCTCCTGGCACTTAACAACGTACACTATATTACTCTGTTTGTGTCAGGGGACCCAATCCTTAGGGTAGACCAATTTTTGGCGCAGTGTTTTTTGGGGTTTAAAAATCACAGAGGTGCTGTGTTTAGAAAAAATGTGTTTCAGCTGTTCTGATACTCCTGACATGTACGAGATCACTACAGGTTTTTCGTGTTGGCAGCAGTTGTCCTTCTCTCTTGGATTGGCTGGAGCTTTCTTTAGGTGACTTCCTAGCTTTGACAAATGTCCAGCTGTCCAGTAGTTGTTGATCAGTGGTCATGAGAATTTGCATCAAGGAACTGACCTCCCAGCCCATTGTTGCGTGGGCTAGTTTCAGTCATTATGCAATGTACTTTTTATAAGGTTGGGGAAACCAGCAGTCAGTTCAGACTGAAGAAGTCACTTGGATGAGTGACGAAATATTTTTCCCACTGAAAATGCTACGTCCAGATAAACAGAATCAGCCTATTGGGGTTTACTTACCTGGATGATTGAGAAAGCATCAAGACATCTTCAATGCACCACAATGGTAGCCTGATATCAGACAGAATTGTCACATAATATTAAACAGAGGCTGTCAACTCAGCTGTATAGAGTGGGGAATCATAATGAAGCAGTTAATTTTAAATTGTAGATTTAAGCTGTTCTTCATATTTTGGGCCACCAGATGCCACAAAAGAGGACTGTGGTGAAAAGCTTTGAGTAATGATCCCTTTTTTCAATATAGGCTTCAATGCTCCAGAAAGCTTCATTGGGCCATTAATACTAACTTGGGTGAACTAAAGGTGAGCCATTTATAATGGCCGGTGGCAAAGTACACATAGGTGAAGCATAATGTTCCAAATAAAACAAAAGCAGCAGATGGCTGCCCCTCCCTGAGGCTGGCTCTGCTGGGGGTTTCTTCCTGTTAAAAGGGAGTCTTTCCTTCCCACTCTCACCAAAGTGCTTGTCCATAGGGATATTCTGATTGTATTATATAACTGTATTAATGTAAGATCATTTTCCTTGCCATATAAAGCACCTTGAGGTATCTGTTGTTGTGATTTGGCATTCTATAAATTTAATTAATTTGATAAATAAACAATAACAACAAAAAAATCTAGAATAGAATGATTACTCCCCCCCCCCCTCCCCCCCCCCCCCCCCCCCCCCCCCCCCCCCCCCCCCCCCCCCCCCCCCAACACACACACACACACAGATTCAGCTACTCTGTCCCATTTGTTTCTTTGTTATACCTGCATCTCTCCATTCCTTTTTCCCCCCACTGGTCTTTTGCTTAGCCTCTTGATACCTACATTCACCCATTCACCACCGGCTTGCTATTGTTCTCACTTTACTTTTTTTTTACTCTATTTTTCATTCTCATTTAACCCCTTCCTGGGGTAAAAGAGACAATATGCAACAAGCAAACAAAGCTGAGGGTTATTCAATACACATCATAATTATTAAAAATAAGAATAAAATAAATACATCTGTCAGCAAATTATGAGCATTTAATATAATATTAATTAATACTGTTCACCTTTCTCTACATGTTCACTGTCAGTCCATCCCCTTCATCTTTTTCTCTCTTTTGATTGCACTTTGATTGTTATTTGTGTCATTTCTTATATTTTAATCTGGCGGTTTGAAGAATGGAGGGATGGCCTGAGGGCTAGCAAACCTTCCTTAGAATCCAGCTACTCTGCAAGTCTTTTTGCCACCGAGGCAAGAAAATGTGACAGCAGTGCCACTGCCATCTCCCTCACTCTCCCCAGAATGAGTGAGATCTTCCTTTTGATGTAACATCAATAATTTTAATTACGCTATTTATCTCTTTGTGGTAAAATAGTTAAATAGTTTAAAGGAGACTAGATAACTCTTCCTCTAACACTTCATTCTTGATGAAAGGTGGAGCAGGATGGTGACAAAATAGGATTAACCAGAGAGAGAACCGGAGTGAGGGTGTCTTTAATCACTCCACCGCTGTCAACAACTTGATACAATTTGTGCTGTCCAGAAACATCGCCACTGCATTAGTCATTTGGGAGATTGATTCCATAACTCCATACCCAACCAACTCACCCACAGGCGCGTTATAATCCCCCACTGAGCAGCTGACAGCTAGAATCAGCTTCATGGCATGATTGCTAGTCAGCTGCCCCCATTTCCCAACACCCTAGTCCACCAACTTCACAAAGCAAACAAAAACTAGGAAAAATAGCCAAAAACAAAAATAGATGAGAAATTTTTGCAATAACACACTCAAACTGCAGCACACTCTAAGCAAAAGGGAGGGGTACTACCAGCATGGAAAGTGTTTTTGCTTGTTGCTTTAGTGTGTTACTGTGATTTTTGCTTCATATTGGCATTTTATAGCATATGCTGTATATTATATATTATTATATGTAATCTGTGGTGTATAGGAGTTTGTGATGTGTGTTTGTGTGTGATGGAAGAGCTTAAACCTGTCAGCAGCCATCCTTTCCTCCTTTGAACTATCACAAACTCTTAGGCAATGGTCTCTAGTCATGTTCTCTGCCCTTATCCCAACACTGCACTGGTTAATTTACTGATTAGGATTGTACAAAAAAACCCAAAAAAACAATTCATGCATTTCAGGACTCAGTAACGCATACGCATGTTTTACATGACTGGAACCCACTGATCCACAAAATAAAATTGTGTGGTTTTTGTGTTTATTCACATATTCATCATAACTCGTGTGCATTCAAAGTAGGTATGAGCTGCATTTTTTGGCCATCCTTTCTTGCTTGACATTTGTGCTGTGGTGCAGGTGGGAACAGTGACAGTGTGTTTGATGTAGCGAAGACTGTGGGCACCATCATCATTGCCAAACCTCTTGATGCTGAACAGTGCTCCTTCTACAACATGACAGTGCAGGCTACAGATGGCACCAAGACTGCATATACCCAGGTACCACTTTTCCTTTATTTCAGCGTTGCCTACAGTTTGGTACATTTCAACTGATTTTGTAGCACAGTCTTGTGTCAAAACGTGGAAAAATTTTCAAAATGTGGACTTTATTGCCTTTTAAAATTGGAAAATATTCACCAGATAGGAATTGGTACATATGACCAGATAGATAAAAATCATGTTTAGGGACATGAAAATATTTCAGCTAAATTATTTACATGTAAATTCATGGAACAGAAAGATTGTGTGATACATTGGGGTGGCTGCAGCTCAGGAGGTAGAGCAGGACTGTAAATGTGTATGAATGTTAGATAGAAAAAACAAACAAAAAAAGTTAGATAGCATTTAGGTAGAAAAAGCAGAGAAAAAAGTGCTTGTATTAATGGGTATGAATGGGTGAAAGAAACATGTTTTATAAAGTGCTTGGAATGCTCCAGTAGAGTAGAAAAATGCTATATAAGAACCAACCCATTTACCAGAAATGTCCAGTAATGCAAACCAGTAAGTTAGAGGTTGTGATTATGTCACCAGTTTCCACTCCCATCATGTTTGTAATGACAAGAAGTGTAAGTTGTAAGAACTTTATTTTACCATTCCACTGGGTTTACAGAGGATAGGAATGAAAAGAACAATTAGTGTTTCTATTCAGACTATTCAGACTGGTCCCCTTATTTAGAAATACCTTCCATAATAATTCTGACATTTGGATTACAATAGATTCCTTAGGCAGGGTGGTAGACAAACGTGGAGTCCTGGGCCTGTGTATCCTCAGTAATACATTTGTTTTTGGGGATGTGGAACATCACGTCACTGGTGGGGAAGGAATCTGAGCAAGTGCAGGACATGGAGTGCTACCGAATAAATATACCTCAGTGTATAGTAAGGGTTCTGGAACCATACTCCTGGAGAATGGCTGGACTGTAATCATTTTCTGGAGTGGCCTGTGGTGAGAGTAGCTGGGTGGGTGTGAGGACACTCAAAAGTCCCTGGCTAAAGACCACCACCACATTACCTCTGTCCATGCCCAGAACAATAGTTCAGAATTCCCAGCCTTCTTTGAGTCTTTAGTTAGTCTGTCTGGGGAATTCATAGTTCTCCCAAGAGATTTTTTCACTCATGTGTGCAAATATGGAGCTGGAAAGGTGTGCTTGGGAGGAATAGCCTGATAAACCAGTGTTGTGTTTTTTTTTTTTTATTGGACTTCCGTCATAGGTATGGGTTGGCCATAAAAAACACCATGTTTGAATCTAAAGTGGTGTACTTGGTATCATAGCACCTTATGCCAAATTTCAGTGATCTGTTTTTTTAAAAAATATATATTATCTGATCTGAGGTCATTTGTTTTGGACATTTGGATAAGGAGAAAGAGCTGTCAACTCATGACTATCTAGTGATGAATTGGGTCAGTAGGCTAGGAAGAATGCCAGATATACCTGGAAAACAGACTAGGAATATCTGGTGGAGGCCCGGGTACTTAAGCTCATAGAGTAAATGGTAAGTATTTGTGGACAAATCAGCATCTTCCATGCAAACAACAGGTAACTGCAACCATTTCCTATTGACCAAACCAATCCCAAGGAGGTTCTTGGTGCAACACCCCTTCAGACCACAACCAAAGAATCTGGTCTGAATGCTTTGTTGTGTCAAACACATTTGCTTTCCCAAGAGGAGCACCATAGACTCTCTGTAGGCTTCTCTTGCTAATAAACAGTTTGTACCTTTAAGACCAATTGTCTGTATGCTCAACTCGGTCACCTATAACATCTCAAGGTTTTTAGTTTTGATCCTCAACCCATTGGTAGGCAGCTCTAAACACCACATCCAGAACACCTTGGATTTTGTTGAGAAGGGTGAGCGATGTCATCATGGAGGCAGATGAAACAATGGTCTCGTATGATGTTACATCTCTCTTCACTTGTCTTCCAGTCACTAAAGCAGTAGAAGTAGTTTTTAAGAGATTACAGGATGACCCCAACCTAAGGAACAGGACCACACTTAGCACCAACCAAGTGTGTTTGCTTTAGGAACTTTGTCTTCATTCCATATATTTCACATACAACGGTCAGTACTACAGGCAGAAACAGGGGTCAGAATCAGAATACTTTAATTATACCTGAGGAAATTATGTGGGTTACAGTTGCTCCAAGACAATAACAATAACAGACTGAACAAATTAAATAATACAATATCTTACAACTAGAGCTGGGCGATAGAACGATAACGATATGTATCGCGATATAACTTTTACTCGATAGAGAAATTAAGCTATCACGATAGACCTCGCCGCTCTTGTCCTCTTAAAAAAAAAAAAAAAAAAGGTCAGCCGATCCAAATTCAGTAGCGCAGAGCCGAACCAATCACAGCCGCAGCGTCACGTCGCGTGACTTGTTTACGTACAGCACAAGTGCCAAGCCGCACGTGTGTTTGTTTGGGAAGCAGCCAGCGGGTAATGGAGCCAGCGCATAATGGAGGAAATGAGTGTGCCGACTAGAAAAATCAACCGAGCGTGACCGAAGAGAAAACAGAGGATGGTTCCAATGCCGGAGAGATTGTCGAACGGAAGAGCCATAGAAGTTCCATAGTGTGAAGGTATTTCGGCTATTTCAAGTCTGACAAAAAACAGAGTAGCGTGCACTGTAAATTGTGCCGAAAGCAAGTCTGGAAATACAGTAAACTGGTGCATGCGTCACACTGTGTGCCACGTTATTGTTTCGGTGAAATGAATTTCTACAATACTGTTACTGTTAATTCTACTCTCTGCAGTGTTTAAATGCTTACATATACACACAGTTACTCTCCCTCCACACATACGACTCGGTTCTGCTTCTATGCCCCAGCTTTGTTTACTTTTTCCCACCGAGGCTTCTAGACTTCTGATTGGCCAACATTTCTGCACGGTTAGGAATCTAGCGCCACCTGCTGCTTTGGCATGTTCATAGCAGCGTTTTCCTTCATTTCTCCCTTTATGTGTGGACGGGATTATTTTTTAAAACGGAAACGGAAAATCTCCGTTTTCAAAAATACCCGTGTACATGTGGACGTAGCCTCAGTCTCTGACTGGAAGCGCTAATTCGTCATTCGGCTTTTGTCAGACTAAAGTAACTGTTAAAACTGTTTGAAAAGCTAAGCTATACAACAAGGAGAGATTGAGAATTTCCTTTTAGTTCTCAGTTTATTTGATACTGACAAAAGTTAGTCAGTTTTGTCTGTTCTTCTGTAAAACAAACTAAGATTTATTTTTAGAATTAATATTTTGTTTCTAAGTGGAATTGACAATTTAGTCTGTTTCGTTTGTTCTATTTTGAAACTTAAACGCTTAAGCGGCTGCCTTTTGTGTAGTTTGCAATATTTGCCTTTATTTATCTGAAAAGGTCTCATGTTCCTTAAGTACATCTACCCTGTTGAACTTATTATGGGTAATAAATATTTAAATAAAAACAAGCTGCTGATTATTTCACATTTTACTTGTGAGCAACGGCACATTTAAATCTTACAAATATAGTTATTTGGCTTATATCGTGATAGATATCGTTATCGCCTGAAATGAAAAAAACATATCGTGATATGAAAAAATCTCATATCACCCAGCTCTACTTACAACGTTTATAAAATATAAGAAATAGCCCTAATATAGTCTTTCTCGAAGTGTGGTATGCGGGCTCTCTCTGGTGGTGTGCGGGAAATCCCCAATTTAAAAAAAAAAATAAATTAAATAATATACGCAATATATATGCAAAGACAACACGAGCGTTCCTGAGGCCCTTCTGGGAGCTGGAGTCGACCAGAAAACGTTTCCCCGAGCATGACTCCTCTATAAAGAGTAACCTTTCCAGCAGTCGCGGCCTCTACCAAATTGACCATCCCAGCTTTGCCGTAATGGTCCATTTGATTCACCTTTTATTGTTCATTTTATTTTCACTTACTGAATACGGGACAGACTTGACTGGGGAAAAGAAGGGGAGAAAGAAAGAGGGAAAGAGAAACAGCTGAGAAGAGGGACGGGAGAGAAGGGCAAAAGACAAAAACCAACAGAATGAGCAGAAAGAAAAAAAATGCATATATCAATCACCTGGATCACCTGCTGAGAAAGAAAAAAGAAAACAAGCAGAAGAGAAC